GTAGAGGTTAACATTGGGTTTTTTGTTTGTTGTATTGTAAGTTAGACCACAACGGTTCCCTGGCTTTACCCTGGTGGCAATTACTGTAGCAGTGACAAAGAAGCTTCATCAACGTCTCCACTTCCTTCCAGTGTGCAAAAATGAAGCCAACATATTCCAGATATCCCAGCTGCCAATTTGTGACCCCAGTTTAGGAACCACTGGTCCTATAGGAAATGTAACTGATGAAAATGCAAACAAGGAAAACATAACCTGAGACAGGGACGTGACAGCGTCTGTTCAGTTTGAGCAGGTTTATTTTTGACAATATGTGCAGGGTTTGCCAAGTATTGTCACTTGTACGCACATGAAGGATGAATTATGCAGTTTAAGACCAGGAAAGCCTGTTACAAAAAAAAATGTATGTAACTGAATTACAGAAACATCAATTAGGAGAAGGATCAATATAGAACTGTCAGAATCCATCTCGTTTATTTTGTGTATGACTTCCCTCAGTAATACAGCACAATTAGGTTTGTGGAGCCCTTTCAACAAATCTGCTGATTAAAAGTTCAAATAGAGCGAGGGGCCTAAACGCAGATGAATCAGATAAAAAGGAACAGCAGATGTGTTGCTTTGTGTAATATGCTGATCCTGTAAAGAAACACCAAACGTCCCTCAGCATATTCTCAGATCGTATCACATATTTTTTGTTGTCTCCTCTTCCTCTCATTACCGGCTGCGCTCGCAGCATAGGGCAACATGGCTGCCGTAAGTCAGCGAAATGAGCCGCCGTTAGAAAGACTGGCAACTCTCCCGGGACTGTCTGGCATTTTGGAAAATCTATTTCTCCTATTAAGAATCTAATAATTGTCAGGAATAATAGGTGGTCTGTTCACAGTGATGTGAAGCTCGGCCTCCGCGTGTCGAACAGAATGTCTTGATTGTTTCTTTACAGGGAAGTTTAGTTGTTCAGTTGCTGTAAAAAGTGATTCAAACTGACAAACTCTTCACTGAGCTGTTTCCTGTCCAACATCAGGACGTCTTGGTTCAAATTGCTGTGAGCTGGAATGAGCTAGAAACCTCAAACCTGGACCAATCATCACAAAACTCTCAGGAGTTGTCCTCATAAGAACCTGATACATACCCTGAAAGTTTCATTCATATCGACCACACAAATCAGATTATGAATCAGGAATTATTTGTCCAATTCTTACAAACGTGTGGGATCTGTTTCATGACACTGTTGAACCATGTGTGTAAAACTTTTTTGAAAACGATTTGCACTTGCGGCTATATTTTTATTTTACTTCTACAACAGTCTTAGATTTTGTTATTCATTAACAGCTTGGTCGGGGACAGTGAAGGCATCTTGAAAGCTATAAAGTCCCATTTCTGCCCCCCAGACAGCAGAAAGCCACTGACACCACTGTCACTCTGAAGCCTCATTACAGAACCAGAGGGAACCCACAAAAGGCTCATCACTGTTGGGAAGAACAGTTTCAGTGTTTCTACGCGATCTTCTTCTTTTTCTCTTTTTTTGGTCGATTCCATCGGCCATTCTGACGGTTCAACAGTTCAAGTGAGACAGAAGAAAGACTGGAGAAGGAGCTAATTTATCTGTGTGTGTGTGTGTGTGTGTGTGTTAATGAGGAACACCCCCACTATCTCACACACACAAAGAGAAAGGAGAGATTGAGATCATCTAAAGGACAGCAGTGCTGAGAATAGCTCCCTGATTATTAAACAAGCGCTCTCTCTTTCTTTCCCTTTCTGTCCTTCTCCGCCTCCTTCCTCTCATCTCCATTTACCCTCCTTCTCGCTGCGTCTCCATCATCCTCTGCTCGCTCAATGCCTCCTCCTTTATTCTCTGCTTGCTTTTTCTTGTCCTGTTTCTCTCATCTTCAGCTCATGTTGTCCTGTTTGTTTGTTTGTTTGTTTGTTTGGAGGGCCTGCGGAGAGGGTACGTTGTACAGATATAAAGACCTTTGGGACAAATTTGTGATTTTGTGCAACATGGATTACTTGACTAAATCTTTCCTTATGTCTATCAAGGTATATTCTAGCCACATTAGCTGTTTCCATCAATGTATTGTGATGTACATTTCGAAGTATCAAGTCAGAAAAGGTTGATTGCCATGAGCTGGAATGAGCTAGAAACTAAAACCCCTGGATAATTAGTGCCAACAACTGCTTATCTCAGAAACCAGCTCCTAATAATCGCATAACAGTAGCATTCATTCTCATTTTCTTTTGCTAAATTTCTCAAAATTTTGTTTACATTTCTGATACATTTGGATGGAAACACAGCTAGTGGTATAAAAAGCAGCAATATCAGGATGCCACGTCATGACACTGTCCAATTGGCCACCACAAATATTGATTAAAACTCCAGAAAAGCTACATCCAATGAGTCAAATGTGTGTGTTGGCCTGTGTGTGTGTTGGTCCAACATTTTAGTCTGAAGTGAAATATCTCAGCAACTATTTAATGAATTACAGCAACATTTGGCTCAGATATTCACGTTCACCAGAGGATGAATCCTAATCACTTTGGTGACATCCTGACTTCTCTTTTAGCTCCACTAACAAGCTCCACACATACAAGATTTGGTGGCCTGTCACGGCTAGTATGAGCAAAGGCAACTGGGGGAGGAGGCAGATGCACTCCGATAATTTGTTATTAACGGGTAATGGAGACTGTGAGGCATCTTTAGTTTCAGCTTATCGTTAGTGACGTCAGAAGCTCTGGTATTGGATGTTTCTGGCTGAAATGCATCTTGGGAGAAGCAGTTCTATCCTTCAGTTGTTATGTCCCCAACCGTTTTAATCAAAGAACCAGATCTTTTCTAACAAGCATCTTTTACGCTTTTAAATCCAAAACCTGAAACAACAGAGAGGTATAGCACCAGTCCTGTATTCTTCTAGTCTGTCAACAACTTTACTGCCTCAACCTCTTATTAACACTTTACAAATTATATTATATTTTCTACAGTGTCACATCAGGACTGATGGATTGACTGAAGACTCAACTTTTTTGTCACACATACAAGGATACACAGTACAACATATAGTTTGCATATAACCCATAAACACTAGGAGTAGTACCCTGCCCCAGCTGGGAATCAAACCCAGGACCTACTTACTGTAAAGCAGTGCTAACCACTGATCACTACAAGCAAATCTAGCAATTATGGTTGAAGTTATGTTTGCCACCAGAGTTTAATACTCCTCTGTGTTCTATCTAACACATCATTAGCAGAGCAATTTGTTTCAGGCGTGTTAGAGATGTATTATTGTATGACCCTGGCTGGCTGTTTACAGCTCTGCACACTGTATGACAATACGCAGGCAGCGTGTTAAGCTTAACAATGCTAATTAAGACATCCTGTCATAGATTACAGAGCATGTTCACATTAACTGTCAGCTAAAAAGAATCGGAGCGTGGTTGATCACGCTGATTTATTAGCGTTCTCTAATGTGAAAGTGACCCGTTTTTATTATACTGATTCTTTTCTTCTTTTCACGTTAATGCATGAAACTGTCCATAAACCGATTAGTTTAATTACGGCAGGCAAGACAACCATAGAGTCCATATTCATACGAGGAGGAGGCTTCATGTGCTGTTGAGTTTTTCTAATGAGGAATGAAGCGCTCAACGTGTGTGAACAGTTAACTGATACTGTGTGGATTAATGGTGCACAGAGACGTGCGTGAGTGTGAAGCCTGTTCAACCATCACCATCCCTCCTTATCAATAAACTGTGTGTGTTTCCACGGTGACTGGGATTTATCAAAATCACACACACACACACACACACACACACAGAAGCAGGCAGGAATGCATTCACAGTGCTATTATGCAACGTGTGCGTAGAAGCAGGAGCTCTAACAGCATAAAGGGCCTCAAACAACCAGCCAAAAAGTCAAGGTGAAAACTGCAGCCTGTTAGTTTAATGAGCTTCAGTCCCTTTTGGTATTGACACAAATGTTTTAGTAGCATAAGAATCAAAATCTGTAAAGGCTGGCATCAAATATCTGGTCAGGTTGAAGCCCAGTCTCACACCAAAGTGTGTGATAGACCCGCCAAGCAGTGGTCAGCAACCTTTTCTATCAGGAGAGCCATTTTTGAGCCTTATAATGCTAATTTCTTGCCACAGATCAGCACCAGTAAGCCAGCAGCATTGGTGGTGAAAGCATACAAACCTGTCCAAGCTCTGTTTTCAGACTTTTCTTTTTTTGGATTTGGAGTCCATAGCTAGCCTAGCTAGGGAGACTCAAGACTTGTGACGTCATGTATCATTACAAAAGACCATTTCTGCTTGTAAAAAAATAGTCCTGATGAGTTAAAATGATAAATGTAAATTATAAGACGATTGTAAGATAGTAAGTCAGAATGATAAGAGAAGTCACAAATAAAAGAAAACAACCCGTTTTGTTTCCCATATTTATAAAAGGTAGATTTTGGTTCTCTAATCTCAAAATGGAAATCCATTGGGTTCAATGTGCACTGACACAGGCTCTCTAACACACATGAAATCTTTCTGGATAAAGCAAATTAAGTTAATTTCCCAGAGAGGGATGTTCGAGGCTTTGAGAGGGTTGTTGGAGAAGACAGTATTTTTCGGACCTAATTAGGTCAGGTTGGTGTTGTGTGTGGCTGAAAATGCGATGAATGGAAACATGCTGGAGTGGGTTGTTGGCATGTTGCATAGATGTCTCTTAATTATTTTTTTCCTACCGCGTTCGCTGTGCTTGTCTCTTTGTCGCCGTCTAATTTGCAGCAGCGAACTCTAGCACATGAAATCCAATGAGACGAGAGAATAAATTGTAAAATTGCAGCCTGTGAGACACGTAGCATTTGCTTAATTGACGGGTGCTCTGCCTGTTGTGTTCGCCCCTCTTTGTTCTCTCTGAGGACCTTTGGCAGCAAACAAATGAAATCATTCAAACTTGTGTCACTGATGCCTCCGTCTGCACTGTTTAATGTTACGCTCTGTCTTCCTTTTGTCTTTTTCTGCAGCTCGCCACGTGGGACTCAATCCACGGACTGAACGGCAGTCTGAAGGAGAGTCGGATAGAGAACGGCATGCAGGGAGTAACGGTCAAAGTGGTCACATTACTGGTAGGTGACATCTGTCAAAGTAGATATTATACTGTGTTTAATCATATTTTAAACATTTAGCCGCCAGAGAGACATATCCTGACAGTAAAACAACCAATAACACAAGTAACTCACAAATATACAGCACTTATGATCAGTTTCACACACAGACAGAATTTGATTTAAAATTATAAATGTGTAATATTAAATTAATAACGCATGCAAACTGCATCTCATCAGAGGGCCACTTCAAGTACTACAAGAAAGTGAAATGTACAAGAAATATACAAAGAGAAAAATCTCTGTTGTTCGCACCCTAACAACAAATAAAGGCCCAAAAACCAGCTCTCTTGTCGACCCTTAGCACATGCACCGTTGACCTTTGCCATTATTTTTTGTCAAACTAATTTAATTTTTTACTTGTCCAAAATCCGTATAGAGAGGAGGTCGGGTTGGATTGATGGGTCAAAAACACTCAGACTTTCGCCCAGGAGTTTGCTATTGTGGTGTCCCGTGTGAGACCAAAATTCTACAGGTTATCTCAGGACACTGTTCAGATAGAGCAGGTCTAGACCGAACTCCTTATAACATTATTTACAGAGACCCAACAGTACCACCATGAACAAGCACTTGGCAATGGGGGCAAGGAAAAACTGCCTGTTAAGAGGCGGAAACCTAGGACAGACCCTTCGGCTCTAGGTGGGTGGTCGTCTGCCCCGACCAGCATTAAAATACTTAACATTAGCATGCTAACATTCAATAATATTCATTGCACTGTTGTTAGCGTGCTAACTTTAGCATTCAGTTAAAAAATATATCGGTGCAGCTGAAAGTCTGACAATGCAGAACTTAACCTGACAAGCTGTAGTTGGTTCCTTCTGTGTCAAATACGATCAGTCAAGTCGATAATTCCCCCATTAATACCTTGAGTTTGTGCACATTCACCAACAAACTGAAATCCACAAAACTTCAAAAGTGTTTGAAATGAATAGAGAAGAGAGAATAAATTGTGTGATGTTTACTTCACTTAACCACAAGTTAAATTCTTGATGAAATAATCCAAATGCTGCACAGCACAAAATCCTCAGAAAAGTCCCTCAGTCGAAAAACTGCTTTGTGCAGCTCACTGTGCTCCCGTGAGTTCTTATTATTCGTGGCACTTCGTCTGCTTTAATTCCTCTCACTTACTCATGTTCCTCCACCCAAAACTTTTACCCTCAACACTTTTTTTTTTTGTTTCGAGAGGGCATCGATCCAGCACCTTGGCTTAAGCCGCGCCTCCGGACACTGTGATTAGTTTAAGAGATACAAACAGCCGAGCATTTTTCGCCCCTGATCCCACAGCAGCAATGGCAGCTACTGCTATAGCTTCCTCCTGTGCTGGCGCAGCACCATGGAGACGCAGGTCTAACCAAGCGAGACTAATACCTTCACCCTGCGGTTGATCCCCTGCAGCTGCAACACTTCCAGCTCTGAGTGCTGCCAGCTACCAACACTGGCACAAAAACTGTAACTACCACACCCCACCTGTGCAGGTTCTCTGCACCCTGAATTAGCATTATCAATAAACCTGATCATATGGACAGGCAGTGAATATTGTTCTTTTGAAAAATACAAATTTACAAAAATCAACTCTGAACGCTGCTGAGAAAAACCCTCTTTGTTACTTTGACTTCTTGCATAAAAAAATAACTCTTTGAATGAACTTAATGACATCATTTAAAGTATTTCCACATATTACACACAATTATGTTGGTCGAACTTAATTTACTTGAGTTGTTCAACTTACTAAATTTGGATTTGACTTTAATTGGTAGGGATAAGTGAGTACACCATTATCTGTACCCATTCAACCAACTAAATTATCTATATTCATACTAGGAATGGGTGGAGCTTGAATTCGAAGTTTTTAATGTTTTTCATGACGAGAATGATTAACAGAAGAAGTTTTATTTATGAAAGTTGCTATACCAGTATTTACAAGTACGGATATTGGCACATTTTACTTGTTTACTACATTATCTGTACCAGATACTTGTTTCAGCCCAATACTCGGCTCAGCCCTATTCATTGGGTTGGTCCAACTAATTCTACAGTGGTAACATTACACTAGTAAATGATCCAACTAAAGTAAGTTACGTTGACCCAACAGAATTACTTAATCCTGAAAAAAAAGCCATTCATTCACATGGAAATACGTTCCATGATTTTATAAGGTAAATTCAAAGATGAACTTTTGAGTGTAACAACAAACTGAGCAGAGGAACAACACAAAGAAGTCAGAATGCGTTTTGAAATGATTTGTTCTTGTTGGCTCAATGTGTTGATTTAATTCATCTGAATGTTCTTTGAGGCATATCCAGCAAACATGAAGCAATCGTTTTAATAAACAAAAACACAATTGAGGGATTTATTACTTACATAATTCTAATTTGCTGATCAAGGTTGTTTTTTTGTGTACTTATTCTTATCTAATACTAAGTGCACAAACATCACTGTCTCCATTTAAAAGTGAGAAATAAATAACCTGGAATGTATTTGTTTTTGTTCATTATAAATGTCAAAAGACAAAATATTTTGCATTACAACCCAGATACACAATATAAAGCTGATGTAATGAGCAAAAGCAAAGCAATTTGTTCTTCAGCTGGAACTTAAATTAATCGATTACAACCAGGTGCACTGAGGTCAGATACCAAACATACAAATTAAATACATAAAAGAATATATCAAAACAAGCTTTCTATCAACTCATAATTTAATCATAATATCACTCAAATAATAATTTCACCTGGCTGGTCCTTGTTCATTGTTATAGAAAGGATCCCTACAGAGATAGACCTTTAGTTTAACCAAACAGCCATAATATCAAATTCACTCTCCACCAGACTCCAGATCATCTTAACTTCATTCATAGCGGACAGAAACTTCATAAAACTCACCAAAACTGTATTAGTCATTCCAACAATCACCAACTCTGGATTGGTTTAATCCTTAATTTACAGACATAGATGATAAAAAACGCAGTTTCAGTCGATTTACTCAGCTGAAAACAAACCACAGAGACGCTGCGATAACAACACAGGCGTTACTACACATATCTTTACAACACAAATACTTATTTGCTATTAAATTAATGTTTCAAATCATATAAGCTTTAAGATAGAGTTTAGTATTTGCATCTTGAGGACTATATTGAGTATAAACCCTCCAAATACTTTAATCAGTTATCTTTATTTGTGTCCTTTTCACTGTTGTTGCAGCTCATTCCCTGGTTTCTGCTCAGAAGCTGAAAAAAGTGAATCACTCTCTTTATTTTTCTGTGGTTTTTAGTTGAAGCTGCAGTTTGTTGAACACGCTGTCTGTTGTTGTTTGTCAAGCTCTGTTTTTCTTCAGCACTGAGGCTTTTATCCTCTCTAACACCCCACCTCTCTCTCTCTCTCTCTCTGCAGGAGGATCCCTTTGTCATGGTGGCAGAGAACATCCTGGGGCAGCCGAAGAGATATAAAGGCTTCTCCATCGACGTCCTGGACGCCCTCGCCAAGATCCTGGGCTTCAAATATGAGATCTACCAGGTGGGCCAAGGTTTAGTTCAGGAGTAATTACATGTCACAAACTTAAGAAGAAAGACTTAATAAGGGTGCACATCCATCCTGCTTTAGATGGAACGAGCTTGGATAGATCACACTTCTGTTTGGTTTCTGTTGGTCAGCATCAGAGAGACTTTGTTAAAATGGTTTCTCGCTGTTTTCACTAACACAAAGATGCAAAACAACAATTTTCTTCTATTACTTTTGTTATATCATAGCTTTGCACGTTGCTGAACTACTTTCCTTTCTAACGATGCTGCAGCGATTCTTTGCTGGTTCTGTGAAGACTTTGTATGAGATTGGTCTTAAAAAGTCCTGTGTGTGTTAATTGGGTGAATTGTGGTGCTACATCTGAAATTTAAAGAGACATTTCATCATCATCCATCGGCAACACTGTCATGTTTAAAATAACGGTCTATCTACTATCTATTCACGGTAAAATGGTAAACTCTGAAATACTAATAAGAATACCTGAAAATACCTAGAAAAAGGACTTTCTGTCACTGCAAGCTTCATCTGCACAACATCACATAATGCATTGAGGTCTTAAGGCCTTTTGAAGCCTGAGTACTGGATGAATAACTACAGCTTTCATTTTATTTTCCTCCGGAGGTTCTGTCTCTGAAATATGGACTTTAGGATTTTGGTTTAAGGCTGTTTTTCTTGGTTGAAATGAGGCTCTGAACTGGTGGCATAAACTAAACTTTATTACTTTTTCCTCCAGGTGGCAGACAGTAAATATGGATCGCAACTTCCCAACGGCTCATGGAACGGCATGATTGGTGATCTCATTAACAAGGTAAAGCTAGAACATACTGTGATCTTCAAGTAAATACGGAACCCGACTGTTTAGGCTAGTAACATTTGACTTGTCTGGCCCCCATACACTCTCAGAACATACTTCACTGGCTAACAATTCACCTCCACCTGTCTGCCTCTGCTTCCTCCAGAGAGCCGACCTGGCTGTGTCTGCCATCACCATCACACCAGAGCGGGAAAACGTGGTTGACTTCAGCAAGCGCTACCTGGACTACAGCGTCGGCATCCTGCTGCGGAAACCTGAAGAAAAGATCAACATTTTCTCTCTGTTTGCGCCTTTCGACCTCGCCGTCTGGGCCTGCATCGCTGCGGCAATCCCCGTGGTGGGAGTGCTCATCTTCCTGCTCAACCGGCTGCAAGCGCTGCGCTCCTCCTCTACCCAGAATGCACCGCCGGGCCAGCCCACCAATGGCATGGGGTCGGGCACTCTGCACAGCGCCATCTGGATTGTGTACGGAGCGTTTGTGCATCAAGGTGAGAGAAACGAGGAGTGTAAGTGGGTTCACGCTGGTAACATCTGTGTTTACCCTACTGTTTCATGCCAAAATGGCTGCTGTGAAAAAGGTCTGTTTGTTCTGTTGGAGAAAGAGTATGTACTGTAACTGGAGGGTTGCAGGTTTAAGTCTAAATAGTCATAAACGAATATTATAACACTATCAGACGTGTTAATTCATCCACAAATTCACCCAAATGTGGTTCTTTTTAATCTTTTATTCACCGTTTGCTACAAAATTCCAGCATGTCTGGTCTTTATTGGTCTCCACAACAAATGCCACCACTTCATGTTTTTGTATTGGATCAGTTGACTCTTTTGAGCCTCTTTTAACTAATTTTACTGAATACTGGATTTACATTTATCAGATGGAAACAAATGCAAACAGAAATTAATGATCATGTTGCTCTTTGTTTGCTGGATTGATTTTCATTTCATACACACAAAGTTCCCAACCCTCATTGGGTTTAAAAGTCACCAAAAAATATATAGTTGCTGTGATCAAACATTTGATTTCATTACAAAATTATTTTGCTCCCTTCTTGAAGAAAAAGTTTTTCATAATCATCAAGCCAAAAGAAATCCTCCCTTATGAACTAGTAGACAGGACAGCAAAACAAAAAGTGAACCTCATTCTCAGCTTCACCAAAATCACACAACAAACAGTCTGTCCCCCTATGGAGGGGCATCAAACCTAAAGGTTCCTGAACACAACTGTGCAAAAAGGGGTCTTTGTCTTTTGTTTTGTCTTTGCTGGATGTGTAAATAAGTGTTTGCTGACACGTTGGTCATGTTGTTGTGGAGTTTGTCAGCTTTGGTTTGTCCGTTCTGGGCTACTGTAGACTGTAGTGTAGGGCTGACTCTGTAGAAGAAGAGCTGCTCCCTCTGTAGATAAAGATCCTGTCTAAATTTTACACAGTGGACCTTAAAGTTTCCTGATTAAACGTGAACTTGCAGCTCTGTCCTGTCCATCACCGTTCACAGGTTTGATTCCTGTGTCTCATTACATTGTTGGGACACTGAGCTGGTCTCCTGCTCACCAACTGGGAATCCCCCTGGATACAAACATCATCTGAAAGCCAAATGAAAGACTGCGCGACTCCGTTCCAAAAATTCTCACAGTGTTAGCGGCTCAGCTGTTTGGCTGAAATCAATCACGCAGCGGAAGGAAGATTATCTGCCTTGTAAAGACGGATTTCAGTTTGATTTCGGGTTGTTTTCATTTAGAGCTGTTGCACAGATTACACGGCAACAGAAGAGGGAAACAATAATCACTGGAGGATTTGTACTGTCTGAAATATTTAGCAGAGAAGCAGATATAAGAGCATAAAACTTTAAAGTGCTTAAATGAATTAGGAGGCTTAGATTACAGAGCTCCAGGAAATGTCCCTGAGATATAATGAAGCTTTCTGTGTGTGTTTTTGTGAGTCAGTGTCAATCAAGGTTTACATTACATTACATATCAGGATTAAATAGAATGGTTCAGAGAGTCAGTGATGGCCAGTTCAGCAGCTCAAACACACACATTTCTACTCATGACTTAATATAGTCCCTAAAACTCAACCCCAACCTGATCCTAAAACTTATTTCCAGCTACAGCACCTCAATGAGAACCTCAAACAGACCTCCCATTCTAAAAATATCACTCTCCAGACAGCGCCCCTTCACTCTTTCACAATGTCCTTTAAAAATGTCCTGACTTTTTGAAAATGTCATCAACAATTTGCCGTAAACATTCAACGGAATATCTTGGAGGACAACGGCAGCGAAGGCAACTTGACTCTGGCTGAGAGAAATGTTCTCTGGAAAGTGTCAAAGAATTTCTTAATTTTAGACTTTTGTCAAAATGTCTTCATTTACCAGGAATGTACGCTCACCTTCCAGTTCTCTCTACAAAAACTTCTGAATTGCCCCGATTTGTTTTTTACAGGGTGGTAATGGTAAATGGACCTGTACTTGTATAGCGCCTTTCTAGTCTTCCGACCACTCAAAGTGCTTTTACACTACGTGCCACATTCACCCTTTCACACACATTCACTCAGTGATGGCAAAGTCCATTGAACAGAAACTAACATTCATACACACTTATGATGCACAACATCGGGAGCAATTTGGGGTTCAGTATCTTGCTCAAGGATACTTTGAACCCACAACCTTCCGATTAAGGAACGACCCACTCTGCCTCTGAGCCACAGCCGCCCTTGGGTGCAGGGTGCCATTTTCCAAAATTGTTCCCATTCCGAAAATGTCCTAATTTTCAAAATACTATCTCCAATAAATATCTATACATTGTCATATTTCCCTCTAAAATGTCTTCCTGTAGGACCTCACAATGTGCTCACCTTTCACAAACATTGTCCTTCCAGAAGGTTCTTGCTCCACAAAAAGTTCTTATTTTTCTTGACTTACTTTTTAAAAAAATTCAATTTTTTTCCCCATTCTACTTCATGGAAATGTCCTTACTCTCCAATTAATGTCCTCTCTCCTCTAAATATTTTTACATTGTCTCATTGCCCTCTAAAGTGTCCTCCTGTAGGAAAATCACACCATTAACAGCAGATTGCTGGACAGATCTCAGATACTGGAAGACGACGGTTGATGAAGACGTCTTGACTGCGGCTGATGTGAAATGTTCCCAACCTGTCCTCACTGTCGAGGTCTAAAACTTTAATGTGTCCTCACTTAGATGCTTGTCCACGTCCACAAACACACATGCATAAGCACACGTGGATCCACACACATCCTGACAAACACACACTTTCCCAGCAGAGGCACCCAGCTGCATCTATTATGGTCTGGCAGGTTGCCTGGGAAACCTTTTAGGTCTAACGGGTTGTGATTAGATGCAGCCGTGCAGCCGCTCTGCTCGCTGTGATGAAGCACCACTCTCACCTGCTGTTTCAATCAGGCGGCAGGTGGGCTCCCGGTCACCGAGAGCCCACCTGTAACTGAGAGGTCACAGGTCCGATCCCCTCAGCATGTGTCCATTAACACCTGTGTGATCTGAAACTGGATCATCAGCACGCTCCGGCTCTGAAAGCAGTTCGAAAACACTCGTAAATCCCTGAGATTTTGAGTAATGACCTGAATGTCCTGTGTGTGTGTGCAGGTGGGGACGGCGTGGTCGGCTCGGTGGCTCTAAGGATCGTCATGGGCAGCTGGTGGCTCTTCACGCTCATCGTGTGTTCGTCGTACACCGCCAACCTGGCAGCATACCTCACTGTGTCGCGCATGGACCACGCTATACGGTAGGACTTATACACACACACACACACACACACACACACACACACTCACTCACTCACTCACTCACTCACTCACTCACTCACTCACTCACTCACTCACTCACTCACTCACTCACACACACACACACACACACACACACACACTAACAGCTGACTGTTTGCTCCGAGGGATGTAAACATACACGGATACATTATTCAGATGTGAGCAGATAATGCGCTTTGACCAGACAACAACTGCATCTGAATGTCTGCAGCAGTGTTTGTTTTCCTCCGGTGCCACAAACTTCACTTCTTGTCAGACTCACAACTCTTGACGACTGCGGCGCCTGAACTGCACCAAAAAAGCACAACGCTGAACCCTGAACTAGCTGCTATTAGTTCGTTAGCTGTCTGTACCCGGACTGGGAGCTGGAAGGACAGGGGGAGTTTAAACACTACTAGTGTAGGAGGGAATACTGCTGGGGAGCGGGGCCTGAATTAGCCACAGAACCAGAGCAGGGCGGACTGACGGAGGCCGGCTGATTTCCAGTTGGCTCCGACCGGGACTCTGACTCTGGGGATGAAGACACAGCGGGTTCAGGCAGCGACAAGAGAGCCACAAATATTTCAACAAATATTTTAATTGATTTAATTTTTATGTATTTACATAAACTCAACCCTTCTTTACAAAAAAACAATATTTTCTAGCTGCTCTGAATGAAATGCAAAAACTGTATTTTTTGTGCTCTCAGTTCAAATATCAGATATTTTGCAGTGTTCACACAAAAGATGACAAATTAACTTCAAAAAATATTTTATTTGCTTTTAGAGGATTTCAAGATTTGAAGATCTGATATATCAGCTTGTTTCCAGAAGCAGAAATCAAACAGATGTTTAATTCTGACATAATTTTGAACGCTGATCTCTAAAGCACAAATATATTATATAAAATGATCTATCATAGAGGAGTAAGATGTGACACACACTGCTGTGAGGCAGCAGCTTTGTTAGGATCCGTGATGATCAGACAGTAAATAATCAGTGAGCTACTCCAGGGAGTTGTCGTCTGTAGCTCAGTCTTCATCAACTGGTGGTTCATTTAGTCTTTATGATGTCTGAGGTCAGCGTCACTCTGGGCACTGAAGGACAGCAGTGGAGTCCAGCAGAATAAAGTTTATGGTGTTCAGGTTTTTAGAGACTGCAGAGTACAGCTGTGACCCAACAGGAGGAGGTGATTTCTGTTTTTATCGATCCCTGTGGAGAAATCAGATCACTGTGGCTATAAATGGGATTTAGATATTTTTTGTTAATAAGCAGATAAACAGATTAAACAGTAGAATGAATGCACAGTTTGATGAAAGTAGAAGTTACTGAATATTTACTGTGGAGTCTGAACGTGTCCAACCATCTTCTGTGCTGCTGCTGACCATCGACTCATATACCATACCCTCTCTATCTCCCCCTGGTGGCTTACTGCAGTATGGCTCATGAGATGATGGTTTCTGTCATTTTACGTCGTTCTTATCCTATCATATCTGATGTTTGTTCAAGTGTTCCTTTTTATCATCAGTTTGGTTTTAATGAGTTATTTGAAGATATAAAAAGGGGGTTTCACGTCATGATTGACAGCTGAGTCCTGCTCGTCAATGACTCTGCCAGGCGTATGGGTGGGACCTCGATACCACGGCTCCGACCTTGATCACTACTGCACAGACTCTGGCTCTGAATGCCCCTTTCCAGGATATTTTGGCTTAATTTATGTGCAGTGGGGAAGGCGGAGAACATGAAGATTCCCATTGTTTTAATTCCTACGTTGTCCTGAAATTGTCTAGAATTTAGGATTTACAGAAGCCGAAGCTCTGAGACACCGACTGCACTTACTGTGGTTTTATCTTTTGTAGTCTTTTTACATTGTTTTTTTTAGACTGAACTTGTTCACCAGATAAAGCAGACATTTAAAAGTTAAATTTCAGTTATAACTAAATTTTGACCAAAATTGTAGTTACTGCAGTTTTCCTTTGTAGGGAAGAACTGGCAACCACAATAACCAGTTAGCACATAACCAAGTAACACATTTTTAGGACGACTCTCTACCTCTGTAAAATGTGAATTTATTAGTAGAGAACATGAGAAGCAGCTCCCTCCCAGTGAGACTCAACTCAACATGGCTGCCTCGCCACAGAAGCACAGCATTAATTACTCATTCAACCTCAGGAGCTCCTCGCACATTTGGCCAATTATTAATCTGAAGGAGGCAACTAAAAACATAGATCATCTCAAAATCAAAGCTTTGTGCATCGAGAGAAATGCTGCAAATCATCTGTAATTCAGCAAACCCAGCGGTGGATGCAGTGAAGAGGCAGAGCCGATCTCGTTGTACATTTAGAGGGTCGGCGGTTTAGCTAAAAAAAGCTCTCAGCTGGAATATTCCTCCATAAAGAAACGACACTGCAGCTTCTGAGTTCAAGTATTTAATGCAGCTGAAAAAGCAGAAAATCTCTTGTCTAAGCTCTCCGCTCTCAGTCTTTCTAACATTTAACCCCTCCTGTTGTTGCTGAAGAACGCGCTGACCTTAACTCTTGTTCCGTGGGAAGCTGTCGTGTATTTTGCAACTCTGCAGACGCTGTGAGCAGAGAGGGAAAAGTTGTGGAGTGTTCAAAAGTTCATTATTTACATATCATGTACAACCTTGTGCATTTTGGCAGTGGTGGTAGAAGTATTCTGAGCCTTTAATTAAAACTAATACCGCATTGTTAAAATGCTGCAGTGTGGAACTTGTAGGAGGCTCTATTGGTAGAAATGGAATATAATATTCACAGGTATGTTTTCATTTGTGTATAATCACCTGAAAATGAGACTTGTTGTGTTTTCGTTACCTTACGTGAGGGTAAGTCCGGCGCATCCTGCTGCCTCAGGCGCTGATAAACCACAGAATACTGGAGTCATATATTAGGCTTCATCGTATCAACCCATATTCTCACGCTCCCTCCCTTTCACTCATCCATATGAGCTCTCTCTCTACCAACCTTGTCCATGAGTATGTATGTATGGGGGTCGATGCTGGAAATAGAAACTGCTCTGCTTAAGTTTGCAGGTGTATTCAGACGCCATGCTGCCCTGACGCTCTGACAGCAGCTCTTAGAGTAACAAACTTTAAATCGGGTTGTGGGTTTTCAGGTTGAGGTTTAATTGTATGTAGTGTGTGGATTGTGTTTCACCAACTGTCAATGAAAATCATCAGTCAGACTGGCTGGCTATCTTCAGCCTGCTGTACATTTCATTTGTTTCAAATTTGTCATTACTAAAAAAGGTTTTAAGTAGGCTGCACAAAATGTTTGACCCATCTACTTTTCAACATGTGGTCTGATTCAATTTGTAATTTATTAGCAAGTAAAATGTATTTATCGAACACAACAATTTTTTCAGATCGTCTTTTGATCTTATTCTGAAGTAATGTAATATTAGGACATTAGTAACTGGAAAATGGTTCATCTATAAAACTGAAAAATGTTATAGATGAACCAGAAATTCAGAGCGAACGTGCAAGAAGATGAGGATGAGGAAGAGGAGAGAGCTGTGAGGCTGTGTTTTCATCATTTGTGATGGAAAATGAGCTACATACGCAAAAAAAAAAGTCACTTTGTTGTTTTTATTTACAATAAGGCAGAACCACAGTCAGCTCACTTTCACAGCTTCATGGCCTCAGGTGCAGAACGGCGCAGTGCTAACATGTTCATCTCAAACCGTAACAGTCACATCTGTGAGTGGTGCTAATGGCTGTCATCAGTTTATGTTCTCTGGTTGGAAGCAAGCAGACAAGTTCAGATTTCGCAATTTTTCACAGGGCAGAACAACTCGTTCTTAGTCAAACATACAGAATGAACCTCCACATACAACTACAGTTAGACGTACTTTTGTGTGTTCATAGCAGATTCTTAGTGTTTCAATTGCACCATTTGATCGATTTCTAACAGTTCTGGTTTGAAGAGCTTGGTGAGATCAATGTACATCTAAAACCACATCCATATAAATCAGCAACAGGTTGGAGCACCCATCCACAAACTTCCAAGAACAAGTTTTCTAAGAAAGAGCAAAATCATGAAAATTACCTTCGCCCAAATTTCCCAAAATAGATTAAATTCTTTTGTACACAAACTGCTCAATTGAAGCTCCAGTGGCAAGGTAAGGTTATCTGCATAGCCCATTTCATTCTACAGGACAATTTAATGTCCTTATACAGTCTAAGCCCTCTGCACATGTGACGGGCCGGCGGGATGTCCTTGGGCTCCAATAGGCTCTTCTGCAAGAGTAGGTCGGTCAGTCCTGAGGGCAGCTTGTGGATTAGTTTGAAAGTGTGTAACCTTTAAGAGGGTCTATTGGCAGAAATGGACAGTTTTATTAGTGTGTAATCACCTGAAAATAAGAATCATTATGTTTTTGTTACCTTAGTTGAACGTTTCTACACAAACGCTGGCTCTAGGTTGGGCCTTTCCCCTTGGAAGGGGAAGCTGAAGCAAGTTGGTTGAAACAACCACCAGATGCGACTAAATCTACACGCTTGGCCTTTTAAAGAGACTTTAGTTTGTCACTTTTCCTCCCTGAGCCTCACTTCGACTGTGATAACCTTGTTGAGAAGATTTTGCAGAAGAGAATAACAAACAACAACAACCAATCAGCAGCTTTCATCACAGCGAACAGCCTGAACTTCAGACCTGAATCAGTTCAGATGGACTGTAATTTAATGTTCCAGACACACAGGGCTAAACAGCAGCTATGAGTTTTAGAGGATAAAAAGCCATAATTTCATGAGCTAACAACCTGAAAAAACAAGGAAACTTTGCCAAGGTTTATGGTAAAAGCTTGTGAAAATGTGTATAATTTTCCTTCTGCCTGGTCAATCAACTGTCTGTTTATGAGGCACAGTCTGATTTCATCCTCACATCACTTCCTGTTAAACTGTGCAGAGATCAGAATAATAAAACGATTTTCACTTATACATCACAAATGCACCTCGCACTGTAAAC